ATCACAAATAAATTTGATTTGATTTTTTAACATCGAATCATCATCAAAGAATTCATCCCCACACGCTAGAACCTAAGTGGTCTCGGACAGTCCGGTTTCAGAGGAGCTTCCTCCCGCGTACACTTAGATTGTGGAATGACTACTTGCCGAGGTTTTCTCGAGAGACTACAGCGTTGGGTTTTTCAAGGGTATATTAAGGTTCCTTAAGGGTCGGCAACGCGCATGTGACACTCTGGTGTTTCAGGCGTCCATAGGCTACCGTAACCATTTACAATCACATAGGCCGCTTGTTTGCCACCGTACTAGTATAAAAAAATATACATACAAAACATCCTAGACCTAGAAACCAAACATAGGAAATACCATAACATATATAGAAAACACCCTGACCGATACAAACTATCATACTCATGAATACAAATGTTTGCACCGCCGGGGAATCGAACCCGCGACCATCGGAAGTAATGCGGTACTAAACCACTAGACCACCGAGGTCGTTTCAACGTAACTCTACTGTCGATGCATTGTCATAATAATTGCTCACTTATATAACAAGAGTAACCTTGGCACTGACTGTCACGGCACTTGAGCAGAAAGTGAATTGATCTATGGATCACTGATCTATAGATCCGCGTGTTCGACTCGGTTTTTTTTATAGTACTCTAATGCTGTTGGCCGCAGCTGGCCTTACAGCTTCACCGGACGATAGGGGGCGAGTGCAGATGGCTCTCCAACCTTCTAAAGGTTTATGGAGCGGCTGAAGGCCAACTCCCGCCTGACGGATACGACTTTAGTCTGAGGGACTGGTAGGCGCGACCTTCAGGTCATAGTTTCAGTCTCCGTTTGAATTCTAGGAAAACACAAGCTTTGCTTGGGACTAGATGGCGCTGTGTGAATTTCCATGAGCAACACGCATGTTTCTTGCTCGTTCTTCTTGTGATGTGACAGCTTTCTGAATGATTTGTAGATTTTTAATCTAGGATACATCTATAATATAGGAAATATAAAGAAGGATAACTGTGACTATTCAAAATAGAATAGAATAGAAGGTTAAATAAAGGTTTTTTTATTCTATTAGTGGAAGAAGATGACATACTATTACTATAAATAATGGAATGAAGGCAAGCTCTACCGGCCGGAATCATAACCCTCCTGTTTACTGCATAGTCGGGTAAAAATCTTATTTCCACCAATGGCAAAAAGCTATACCTAATAGCACAACCAGATGAATCGATTAGACCATACATAATTTCATCCGGCGTCGAACTGCGATACATTTAATTGTGCTCAAAAAAATATACCCACGCCATTTTTAGATGCCCTTCACGCTTCACCAATCAACGAGCGTTCAAAATAAATATATTTACTTCTATATTGACTTAGAAAATTATAACAAGCTAACCTGTGCAACAGCGCCAGTGTTACATTTTCCCAAACAAGCTTGCTAACCTGTGCAACAGCGCCAGTGTTACATTTTTCCGTTTCTTCCAACATTTTTCATTGCAGCTCGCCTCCCATTGGTTGCTGCGTGATGTTATATAACCTATAATCGTTCTCAATTAACGGGCTATCTAACAGTAAAGGAATTTTCAAAATCGGATCAGTAATATCTGTGACTACCGCGAACATACAAACTCATAAACCTTTACCTCTTTATAATAAATATAACTATCAACTCGTCCCGGCTTCATACGGATGCATTACAAATCTTTGAATTTCTCGGCTTGTTCTATACTATAACACGCATGTATTATACATATAAACCTTCCTCTTGAATCACTCTATCTATTGCTAAAAACTGCATTAAAATGCGTTGCGTAGTTTAAAAGATATAGGCGAACAGAAAGCGGCGGCGACTGTTTTATACTATGTAAAGATTATGGACTAGGAATCCCATCCTGCTTCGCTTCATAAATTGATGAGTGTTATATATATATTAACATAATATATAAGTAATATAACATAATATAAGATATATGCCACTGTGGAATAATGTACTTACCAAATAGTGATTTTTTTTATTCTAGTGGTCACCCAGTGGTCGAAATTAGACCATAATTAATTTTACATTCATTAAGACTATAAACAAATAATATTAAAAACAAACAATATTAATCTATTCTCAATTTGACCACAGACTTTAAAAATAAACAAAAGAGTATATACCTATGCGTGTGTGTGTCAAATATATGCTAGTATGTAATGTTTTTTTTTATTTATTTAATGTATATTTTATGCATAATTAGCTTGAAAGTATCTCATATGAGTAAATAATAGATTGTAATGAAATTCGTATAATCTAAAAGGGGTTGAAATGAAGGATGAAAGGTTGTGCGGAAATGATGAAAGTCGTGGTTAACAGCTACTATAATATTATTACAAAAGTTTAAGAGTTTTAGGAAACAAGTAAACAAAACGAAACTACACAGGCTTGTCGAAATCTAAACAATGATTTATAGTCATTTACGACACCTCCCCAGAGGATAGAAACATTTTCGGTACACCGCAAAGACTGCCGCCATGCAAAAGGACTGGTAATAAATCATAACAAAGGTGCTCGACCACTGGCCATAAAAAGTAACCCTTTCAGTAGCGAATGGAATTGTGATAATCTGCTTACGGGTCAGACAGACCGACAGACAGACAATTACGGTAGTCAAAAAGAAGCCGATCGTAAATTATATATTAATTTTTGTTTCATACATATGGTATAAAGGCGATTTTAAATTACTTCATTACATAGTATAAAACAAAGTCGCTGTCTGTCCGTCCCTATGTATTCTTAAATCTTTAAAACTACGCAACGGCTTTTGAAACGATTTTTTTTAATTCAAATTTACAAATCATCGATTCATGTAGGTCACTTTAGCCGCTTATGAACGTCAAATTTTTACATTATAATTTTTCCCTACCGTCCAGTTCGGTATATAGATCCAATTGAGAAGAACTGGCAAGAAACTCAATTGAATTACTTTTTTTTTAAAAGCCAGTTTATTTACAATGTATATTTATATCGGTGTCTATGTCTAACATTAAATGAAAATCAAGTGCATGAACAACTATTGCCATGCACGCTCTTCATTCAAGTAAATTGATACAAGTAATAGATAGAGTGATTCAAGAGGAAGGTTTATATATACATATATATAATACATGTACACCCGTGCGAAGCCAGGGCGAGTAGTTAGTAAATTATAAATTAATTTTTCTTTCTTTTTTATGCAAAGTATAAAGGCGATTTTTAATTATTTATGATTACTTGATTGTTACTATAGCTAAGTTATTTTTGGCAGAATTGAATTAACATGAAACCAATTGCGTAGGATATATCGATCGATCTTAGAGATCAGATTTGCACTCTCTGTAGGGATACTCCTCTGAGGCTCGACCGATCGAGATCAAAGTTTCACCGAAGATCGACTACAGGCCTCCATTTACCATAAAAAAAATCCAATCGGTCATGTCCTTGAGGAATGGTAGGTGATAAAATATTACCATAGACTTGCATAGCAGAAAAGATTCACGCGCTACTGAAAATAATTTAACTTTAAAAGCCGAGTTTTTAACACTGTTGTCTATATACATATTGTATGGGGTTGAAAGGGGAAATAAATGGTTGTACGGAAGTATCGTAAAGCTACCAGCTTGAACCTTATTTTTTAGGTTGTTGATTAAATATATGTAAATATGACATTCAAAGTTTGTAAAAATGTTATCCTTAAGGGGTAAAATAAAATAAGGGATGAAAGGTTTTTTGGTTTTTAAATCTAGAACCATGAAACTTTTTTTTCTTTTTTGAGTTGGATTATGAAATATTTTATGCTATTTAAGGTAATTATTCCACGAGGACGAAGCCCGGCTACACCTAGTTAAGTATATGTGTAAACAACTTTTTTTATACCTTAAGAACTAACATACAGGTAACCAAATAAACCCTCTAGTGTTGACACTAATAACGGTAATTGATCATAGATAACGTGGCCAATAGCTAAGTACTCCGACGCACAAAAAATAATTCCGAATTGCACACGAAATCTCCAACTCGTAACTGTCAGAGTTGTCAAAAAATTAACACCAGTTAACTTTTTTTGTTAACCCGTTTAACTACCATTCAGTGTGGTCACAGTGGCTCAATTATTGTGGTAGCAAACAAAAGGGTTTTACTTCTAATCCCTCTTTTGTTGCTCGGGGACTTTTGGACCGAGGCGACAAGTTTTTTTGTAATGGCAACTAACGGCTTCTAAGGGTTACTATTCTGTTCGGGCTATTGAAGACTTGCTTTTGTTTGAGGCTTTAATTTGTAAATGAAAATAGGTAGCTATTTATTTTAACTTTTTTTTTCTATAGTACGATGGTGGCAAACAAGCATAAGGCCCTTTTGATAGTAATTGGTTACCGTAGCCTATAGACCCTAGAGACACCAGTGGTGTCACGTGCACGTTGTCGACCTTTAAGAAATCTTAATATACTCTTGAAAAACCTCTTTCTGTAGTCTCTCGAGAATCCTCTGTAGATAGTTCATTCCATTCCATGTAAGTGTACGCGGTAGGAAGCTCCTCTGAAACAGTGCATCCGAGACCACTTAGGCTCCAGCGTGTGGGGATGAATTCCCTGTGGATGCAAGTGGTGCGATGGTAAAAGGTATCCGTAGGCGTCATGTCGAATAATTTTTGAGAATTCAGTCCGTTATATATTCGGTAGAGCACACAAAGCGATGCCAAGTCTCGTCTCAAGATAAGTGATCCGATAAGTAAATAATATTTTCTTACTACTTCTATTATATTGTAAAATAACTAGTGGTCGATCGTGGTCGTGGTCGTGGTCCCCCAGTGTTCGAAATTCGACCATATTCAATTTAATTATAAGTTTGAACAGTATAGGTTATTGTCACAGTTGGCGCTGTGTAACTCACACAGCGCCACCTAGTCTGTGGTTATTATTGTTATATTTCAAAATATATCCAACCATAGTTTTAACAAACCAATTGACGTTGTCAACAGGTGAATACGTGATCCAGGGTGAGTTGCCCTGCGACCTGGTGAACAGCGAGGAGTCACGCTTCGACCTTCTCGAGGAAGCTCTCCAGCTGGTGGAACTCGGAGACGAGGCCGAGAGTAAAGATGAACAGCCAGAGGTAATTGTCAATTCAATGTCATCATTTATCACCGTGTTTGTCCAAATTCGTCTGCGTGCGTATCTCTCTCTCTACCATTTCAGGAAACAGTTTTATATGATGGTGCGGGTGAAAGTTGAGACATGGTAGTAAAAATACTGGTACGAAGTGTTGAGAAATTATTTTCATTCTTACTAATATTATAAATGCGAAAGTATGGTATATCTGTCTGTCTGCCGCGTTTTCACGCCAAAACTACTCAACTAATTTAAATAAAATTTGGTACACAGATAGTTTAGACCCCGAGAAAGGGGACATAGGCTACTTTTTAAAGCCAAAAATCGTGTGGTTAGAAGAGGAGATGAAAGGTTTTATGAAAGTGTCGACATATTCAAAGATAGAAACTTGAAACTTATTTTTTGGGCTGTTGATTAAACATAAATAACAATGACATTCAAAGTTCGTAACAATGGGGTTAAATTAAATTAAGGGATGAAAGTATGTATGAAATGTTCGTCATTTTTGAAACTAGAATGATGAAACGTTTCTCTTTATTTGGTCAGGGTCAATATTCCACACCGACGAAGTGACGGGCACTGTTAGTTGTTATTATATATAAATAAATTTATTATTCTTATGCACCTTATTCAATTTTATTCGCAACAGGCGGTAGAGGGCAGCAGCAGCGGCGGCGACGCAAACACCACCGAGATGTTACACCCGGCGATGCGGCACGTGCCGCACCATCCGCTCGCGCACTACCACAATCAGGTAAGTGATTCTACCACAAGTTGTATTGCCAATATTTAATGACAATTATGTAAAATGGACCACTTTTTTTCAGTCAATTTGAAGATACTAGGTATATCATGTTCTTCTTCCACCAACAGTTGTACTGCCAACATTTGATGGCAATTATGTAAAATGGGCCATGTTTTATAATACATTTTGAACATACTAGGTATATCATCTGCCTCTTTGTTATCCCATTCTTTTGGGGTCGGCATAATGTCTTTATGAAGGTACTATGGATATTATGTATAGGGTACTTGAATTAATAATAAACATTTCGATCAAGAGGCGGCCACTAGTGTATGTTTCAATATTTCAGTTTGCAATGTCGTACCGCTAAAACTTACAGTTTGTGATCGTCCTAAATAGTTTGTATCATTTAGTTGCAACGTATACAACAGTACTAAATATTGTTTCGAACATGTCCAGTTTCGTACCAGATAAAGTGTTTTTGCGGGGAGTTCTTTTTTATTACTGTCAACATTTTTTTTTAGATAAATTACAACCTTCTTAATTCAGTAGTGTAGTCGTAAATAAGACACAAACGTACAGACAGGATATATGTATAATATACATATATGGAATGTATACGTCTAGGTGACATTAGAACTTAAAACACGCGGGCCCATCGTCAAAGCGGTCATCGGCGGTATCAAAGAAAACATAAAAAGTAAAAATTTCTCCAAACTGTGTAATGATAAATGAACTGGTGTCATGGGATCACACCACACACGATGGTTAATTCGCGGCGCAAGGTACGGGCGTGCGCGGATTTGTAATACTAGTTGTGTGCCGCGGATTTGTCTGCGCTAACTTTCATCCCCTATTTCACCCGCTTCCGGATTGATTTTTGATATTAAAGATAGCAAAGGTCCGTATATAAAATTTGTTTTTTTTTCTTCTATGTCACGCAAGCCAGTACGATTATGTAACTGCACTGTTTCAGAATGCAAATTTTTTTTTCTAATGTCATCAATAAAATAAAATAAAATAAGATAAATTACAGACAATTATGATAAGTACCTACCGACAGTCCTGAACCTAGTTTCAGCCGAGACAACTGACTAGAAACTCTGAAACCTTTGATTTATTATACGCTGTTTTTTTTCCGGAATATCACTGCTTTTTAAAATAAAGTATATCTTTATTAGTTCTTGTGTGTATTCAACCTTTAGTAGAGAAATTGTAATAAGAATAGACAAAAAACTATCGTCTTTATAATAGATAGATAAATAATTGATTTATTGCAATAATACAGTTTACAATAAGACATAACATGAAAAATAAATATTGACATAGAAAGTTGTCAATAGGAGCTGCCTCGGCTGTTGCTGATATAAGCACAACCTTAATGAGGTGCACCTACAGCGCATGTTTTCAGGCCCCCATTATTCATTAAAAAAAAACTAATATAATAAATATTCTTTATTGGACTTATTCTAATACATTTGTAAGTATATTAATTACAACTAATGTTAACAAAGGAGGACTTATCTCTAAAAGAGATCTCTTCCAGTCAACCCAATAGAGCGTGGCATAGGAAGTGTTGAGTGGGTCAAAATGTGCAAATAATAATTTAATAAAAATGTCATAAATAATTAATAATAATAATCTCAGGACAATTCACACAGCGCCATCTATACCCAAGTTAAGCTAGCTAAAGCTTGTGTTATGGGTACTAGATTACTAATACAAATACATAAGATTTACATTTTTTTTATAAATATGTACATAATATACATAGAAAATACCCTGACCGATACAAACAATCATACTCACGAATATAAAGTCTCAAAGTGTTAGCACATTACTACATGTGTTAAATAAGAAATTATCTGTTTGTGCCGTGCGAGGAATCGAACCCGCGACCATCGGACGTAAAGCGGTGTGCTAGACCGCTAGACCACCGAAGTCGTCAAATTAAAACTAAACATAAAAATATAATGTCCAATATACAGATACATATTTGTCTCCGATTTAAGTCATCACTAAAATTCATCAGAATTGTTTCACTATTTTAGGCATAAAAAGGTAAAGATTATAACACTGTAACATTTATAATATTCAATAAGCATTGTTTGTTCATAATACGATATTCCGTTCAACGTATGATATGTCCATATAACGATAATTTTAGTGTTATTACCTATTCCGCCCCCGCCCGTGACTTGGACCACACATTTCTGTACATACAATACAACAAATCCATTAATCAAATTCATGACAATTACGGGTTTTGGACAAATTGTTAGTTAATTTTTTAATATCTCTTTGTTTTTGGCTACCGAACCGTGTATCTTAAACCGACTGATTGTCTAGCGCTCACACCACTTTACTTGCGATGGTCGCCAGTTCGATTCCTCGCACGTTGCGAACATTTGTATTCATGAGCGTGATTGTTTGTATCGATTTGGGCGTTTATTTAATAACATTATACGTATTAGTATATAATAAATGTAAAATAATTAATAATAATTATTATTTAATTTTAACAAAAAAAATACGGTCTCATTGATAAGCTCATCGTTTTCGAAGTTGGTTAATAATACAATGTCTACAGTATTCCTTGATGAGTATAGATAACAGGTTCGATTCCGATGGAACAATAAAAATTCGGACGACACGACTGGTTTGATGCGAGTCACGAGTATTAGATGGAATTCGATTCTTGTCAGTCGATTATCGATTTTAAATCGGACATCGATTAATGAAACAAATGCTTTTGATTCTTATCGGGAATTTAAAGTCGCATCCTTTTACCTAGGTATGGGATACAATTTTTTTAATGGATGATAACGTATTGGTGCACCCGCCTGTGCTGACGGTATACGCTGGCGGGGCACCAGTGGAGCATGATAAGATGAGCATGAGGTCAGGTCAGTTACACATTGTGACAAATTTACGAGGAATTTATCACGATGTTTTCCAATGGGAATATTAGAGAGGTTAACCTGACATGGTAAATTGTTAGAAATAGGGTCATCAGACCACGTTACTAACAAAACTCGGTACTTCGAAAAGAGGGTGTTTGTTTGTAGACTAATGTTATTTAAAAACTCAGACAGTTTCAGGCTACGAACACTGATTAGACTATTTGCTTTGCAATAGCATAACTATGGTCACTCTATTCTCCCAAATTTGAATTTAAAAATGAATCTGTATTATTGTAAACATGTAAAACATTTATTTGAAAAGAATACGAGCTGAGTTTCTTGTCATTTCTTCTCATCTCGAAATCATTACAAAATGACGGTAGATTTGACATATTATAATACACACATAATAATGGATTGTTTGTTACTTTTTCACGCAAAAACTACTGAACGGATTTTTATGAAACTTTACAGTAATATAGATTATGAATCAGAATAACACGTAGGCTATATTTTTTATTCAAATTTATATACTGAAGCCGCGTGCTCAGATAGTATGTATATAAAATTGTTTTCCTTTGCAAATCCTTGACATATAGACAGTCAGACATATAAAAGGGTTGGGCGGCCCTTACGATCGGTCAATAAGAAAGCAAGTCATTCTCATATAGTATTATTGACGGATCTTAATCAAAGGGTGACGGGTTTGATTCCCGGCTGAATAGAGATACGCATACATATTGATTGCAAGATTGCATACGTTAATATATGTATAAATTTTATATGTATTTTATTATGTACTTGTGCAATTATATATATATATATATATATATATATATAATATATTTATATTTATATATTCTTTAGTAGGTGATTCAAATCAAATAATATTTATTCATGTTGGACATTTTAGTCATTAACATTTTATAATAATAACCAGCTTTGCCCGCGGTTTCACCCGCATTAAATAAGCCTATATGTTATTCAGATGTATAATCTATATTACTGTAAAGTTTCATAAAAATCCGTTCAGTAGTTTTTGCGTGAAAGAGTAACAAACATCCATCCGTACTCACAAACTTTCACGTTTATATTATACATCTATGCATATAAATAAAATTGGAGTGTCTGTTTGTATGGAAATAACCGTTTTTTACTACATGCATATGAATGTAAATACGGTATATACACCAAATTAACATTTTTTACAATTTTTGTCTGTCTGTCTGTAGCGTAATATCTTTTTAAATTGTAGAATTTTAAAAGATATTATGTAAATTGGGCGAAATATAATGAGAAATATCAAGTAAGTGTGGTGCAGACGAAGTTGCGCAGGTCAGCTAGTTAATATATCTATAGCAGATGAATAAGGAATACCTTTGTATCCTTAGCAGTGAGTCACGTGGGAGCACTCGACGCGGTATGCGCCTGCGCATAACCACAAGTGCGTCCTAAGCAAGCAGACCGGGATCAAACCCCTGACAGACGAGCGAATTTCCTCTTTTTAGTGCATTAAGCCATATCGATATTTATCGGCGCATTGTTATCGAAAAGAAACTCAAATGTATATTTTTTAATTTTTTATCGTCGATTGTGCGCGGCTTATAGCAAAGGTTTTTGCACTATACAGCTATGTTGCAAAATATGATTTAAAGATTTTATATCTTAATATAATTTTTTTTTTATTTATAGAGTCATAAGATCGGTATGCATATTAAAATTATCTATATTAATGTGTTTATTACACATTAATATAGATAATTTTATGAGAAAGTATGCGTCTGTGTTTGTTGTACGGCATAAGAATAAATAAATAACCCTGGACAATTAACACAACGTCATCTAGTCTCACGGTAAGCAGAGCTTGTGTTATTGGTGCTAGACAACTGATATAAATACTTAAATATATATATTTTTTGTAAATACATAATATACATATTTCATTTTTTACAATTTTTGTCTGTCTATCTTTTTAATGTAATATCTAATTAAAAAAGAGCAACACACAAGTTTATATCTTGCTCATTCTTCTAGTGATGAATCTGCATTCCGAATGAGTGGTAGAATCAAAATATGACTATTCAAAAGTGCTTGTAATGAGTTTAT